GAGCCCGCAGGTGCGCGGCTTGGGAGGGGGCGGCTCTCCCGGCAGGTGCAGTCAGGTCGTTGTGAGGGCTCCTGTGGGGAAGTTTTGGTTCCTTCGTCGGACACAGAGGCTCTGCCTGGCACTAGCGCTTCTTGTGGTAAAAGTCCTGTGGGGGAATCTTTCCTACCACCTCTTTTCCTGGCCCGTACCTCGGTGTGAGTACCGCACGGTCAGGACACCGGCCTGCACTTGGCCGGAGGCTCACACCTCGAAGCCCTTAAAGTTCGGGGCCTTGGTGGCTCTTTGACACCCCTGGAGAAGGCCGGGAGAGCTGTGTGGCTCCTGGCGGCGGGAGAAAGGCCTCCAGGGCGCGGGAGGCATCTCGGAGCCGCCGTGGTGTTGGGCAGCTTCCATTCCTTGGAGAGGTTGTGTGGTGAGGAGCTGCTGGGGAAGGAACACACTGTCTGCAACTCCAGTTGATGCAGAAATTCTTAACAAAGCCACGTTTTTTTTCTTTATTTAGGGGTTGTTTAATAGGAAACCAGTTCTTTCGTGCTGCTTGTAAATTTTTGGAGCTTAGAAGTTCAGTGTGCTTCCAGGTCTAACAACTCTTCTCCCCCATGAAGTGATTTGTTAATCAGGTACACGGTCATCTTAGTAATTCTAGGATTTATAGACTAGTTTCAGTAGAACACAAAAATATCCAGATGTCAGAAGCAAGTTTTCCTCAAGCTTTGCGAGAACAGGTTTCTGAGACCATGTTATTGCTCCACAGAGAATGGCTTTGACATGAGCTCACCCTTCTATTATACATCAGAGAACCCACACAGGCACTTCCCTCGAGGAGCTTGGAGGAATTCAGGTTCTGCTTGTTAAAAGTTAGCATGCCTTGGGAGTGAGTAAGGCTCCTCTTCATCTCCATGGAGACTGGTAATCACAGATGCAGGATTTTAGGTTTGTTGCTTTCCTTGTCTTGTGGACTGGACACAGTTTGCCCATGGAGTAATTTTTTTAAAACTATTTAGGTTTTACCTCCTTTCCCTTCATAAATACTGCAGAGTTACACAGAGCAGCAGGTTCTGGTGGTTTCATCAGAAAGGTGTGTGCAGGCTAAGCTTGGACTGAATTCTTCTCTACGTTACCAGGATGGAAAACTGAGCATAACCTGTAGGATATGTGTTAGAATAATGTGTTTTTCACAGTACATAATCACTTGATGGGGTGTAAACTGTGTAATTTTTAATATCTGAAGTTACAGGTGATGCTGTGTTAGGTCAGTTTAGGATTGAGATCACACTAACAAATGCTTTCTCCCCTTTTAGGCCTTTATCGAATTTTAAACTGGGCTGAAATTGTTCATATTGGAGATCTCTCTGCTGAGGATGACAAAAAGGCCAGGAAAAATTGCAACTGTATTAGTGCAGAAAGATGACTTTGGATTGGGATGTACCCTTGGCTGTTTCTGTGGCAGGCTGCTCAGACAAGGCCATGTTAGGAGGCTTTGAAAGCAGTTTGCCTTTGCAGCAAAAGCACTTTGCAGCAGTTAGCACTTGTGCGTTAAGAACTGTAGCATTTTATGTCCCAGAAGGTTACACCCATGCTGAGCAGAGAGAGCCTGCCATGAGGCAGGACTTTCCCTGCAGGCCATCTCCTGGAAGGACACAGATTGTTGGAGGCCAAGTTGAAGGGCAGAAGTGGTTGTAGTGGTTAGATGAGTGGGGAGAAATGGGCAGAAGCATCTCTGGCTGAACCGTGTCCTACTCCAGAGGCGAGCAGGAAACTCCTTATTTTTTTCTATCAGCAGCCCTTTGTGGAAGGCAGGTGTTTGTCAAGGCCACTGCCAGGGGTGTTCCTCTCTGCCTCTGGAATGTGCCAGGCTTGAGCACCTGGGCTTGAGCACCCGTGTCTCTGCTCAAGTGGCAGGCATCTGGCAGGGGGGTGATGGCAATGGAAGACACAAACCTTTCAGCTCTTCTGATGACCTCTGCTGGCACCAGCATGGGGGAATTCCTTTTTTCTTAGTCTGCTTTTGAAGCAGATCCAAGCCTTAGGATTTCATACAAAACCTTATGAAACTTTCCTGCTCCCTACAATGCATTGAGTTCAGCTCTCCAAAGTGAAGACAGTAGAAAACCAATTGTACGCTGTGCTGGAGTGTGTTTGGGTTTTTTTTTCTGGTGTCAGAAAACACTAAAGGTCTTGAAATTCATTATTTTCTCAATGATTTTACAATTATATTGGGAGTTGCGACAAATTTTGAACTGAAGGGTTTCAGTTTTGTCTACCAATAAGATAAATAAGTGGCTGTAGAAATTGGAGAATGGAGCTGAGGAAGTTGAATGCAAAATGGGTGACCTGATTTTAACAAAATAAGTTAGTGGTTTGGATCATTCTTCAAACTTGCCGCCTAGGAATGGACCTCCTAATTTAGCAACTGTCTGTTGGCACCCTGCTCAGACTGGGTGTTTGGAAATTGTTTAATCATAGCTTTTTGGGCCCCTAAACATAAACAGCTCAATACTGGATGGAGTTGTGTTTTTCTCTGGTGCTCAAAAGCCAATCTTAGAGACCCGGTCTTAATTACACATCACTTGAAAACTTTAAATTAGTTTATATTTTCAGGGATCCCCTCACACCAGAAGGGCTGTTTACTTTAAAATATAACCCTTTTTCTTCTTCCCGGCTCTCTTTTTATGAAAGAAGGGAGAACAAAGAAATACTGAGGGCGGTTTTAACATATTGCACACACACACACAAAAAAATCATTAAAATCCATTGCAGGCTGGCTGGAGACCAGCTTTGATCACGAGGAATCCCAAAGTGCTGTGTAAACTTGAAATGAACTGTACCTGAGGTCCACTTTGGCATCCACTGGCGCAGAGTGGTCTGCAGTGGCTCTTAGCAACGCTTTGGAGCAGCTCAAGCAGGAAGCTGAAACTTTCTTTCATCTTTTTTTCCCCCCTCCCCTCCTCTTTTACACCTCCTTCTCCTAGGGGACTAGATGGAGCCTGGTCCTCTTACCTACGTTTTTCTGCTGAAATTTTTCTTTCTTGGATCTGTCCCCAGCGTCATAATTGCTATTGTTACACCCGCTGTAATGGAAAAAAGATTAATCTTGGAGACTGTCAGCGCGGCACTTTGAGGCTGGTTTTGAATGACGCAGGCTATTTCTCATGGTTCTTTTTGCCAATGCAGCTGAGCTGCTGCCATCACTTGCTGCTGCTGAAAGGTGTGGTCCCCCTTCCCTAGCACTCCTCCTTGCCCCTCTGCTGCATGCCTGCCCTGTTAGTTGAGAGCTAACTGGGCAAAAAGCTCACCCTACCAAACCAGGAAGGGTTTTTTTTTCCTGCGTTTTTAGCTCCCTGTTCCAGCTCACTATGGGATCAAATGAATGAATGCAAGCATAGATGGAAAGGGAAGAACAAAATGCATGAAAGAGGACTGGAGAGCTGGACCAGCCTCTTGGCTTCAGCTGTTAAATGGGCATGGTGTTGTCAAGTCAGTATTGTTTCCTACCATGCTGCATTTCTTTTCTGCGCTTAATCTTTTTTTCACCCTACTGCTGGTTTAAAGGTGTTTCAAGCCACTTTTGCTCATAGGAGTTATTTTGCATCCCTTTCTGATGTTGTTATTTTTGCTTTGGTGTTGGGGTTTTTTTTTCCTCTTCTAACTGCTGATGCGAGGTAGAAAAACAGATGAAGAAAGTGAATGGAAGGAAGTTAAATGTGGAATAAAGAACAAATTTCCATACTCTTTGTCCTGTTTTGTTAAAATTCATGCAATATATTTAGCCAAGGAAGTTAAGCTTTGTCTTGGTTTAGATGAAGTCTCGGGAATGTATAAGGAAATGGTATTTTCATCTGTTCTTCAGAATCAGATCTCAGCGCAGAATAAAAGGCTGCTGTGCTCTTAGAAGTGTTTTATTTCAAATGGAAAAGAAAATAAAGCTGCAGCACTTAGGAAAGTTCAGATGCATTCCTGAAAATCTTTCAGGAGTTGTACGGGTTTGCTTCCTCAACTCTTGCTATGAGTTTGATTTAAAATGACCTCCTAAATCTGTTAATAGTCTTGCAAAGCAACTCATTTTGCTTGGCCCTGGGTGCAAACCACACAAACCCACCAAGTTCTGCAGAAATTCCTCCAGGAGCCAAAGCTGCTCAGATAGAGTTAAAGGGTGCATAAATCTGAAGTCGTGGTTTGTGACACACCTCTTTGCATTAGGTAAATCAGTTTAATCTGACTCTTGAGGAGAAGAGAAGCTATTCACCTGCATAGTTAATATTTCCTTGAATATGACAGTGTCCTTCCAGAACTTGAGATGTTTCCAGTGTAAGCACAGATACTCTCAGAGACAGAGCTGAAAGTATCAGAGGTTCTGCTGGTAGGGATCACCCCCCCTCGGTTATGCTTACCCTGATACCACATTCAGATGCATATGGCCCTTTCTACTCTTGAATTTCAAGATTGAAAAAGCAAATACAGATTTATTTATTTTTTTTAATCTGTGTGTGTGTATATGTGTGTATATATATGGCTATTTTGGTTCCAAAATAATTCCAAATGCATTCTTCTGAAATTGCAGTTATATACTGGGTAGGGTTAAAATTATTTAAATTGAGCTATTAAATGGCTGCCTTTTTTCAGAGGATCTTGTACTAAGTGAAGAAACCTTGTTTCTCCTGTATGTTTTGGTACAAATGCCTTGATAGAATGACAGGCTCCACATCAACTTAATAACATGCAAGTAAGGGTACGAATTTATCATCACTGCTAATTGCAAGTCTGTTGTTTTTGTTCTGCCAACTAGGCCTCGGCCCCAGTTGGAGACCTGTTCTGTTTGGCACTGTAGAGGAGCGTGATAAAGGATATTCTGTTCCTTCAAAGCTTGTCATGTGCATAGCAAAGAGAAAGGCAAGCTCACAGAGCAGAGAATGAGCTTCTTTCACCTGTTCCGCACCAGGGCTGTGATTTGAACTGACCTCCCATAGGAATGTGTTGGACTGGGGACTGATTTGGCCAATTTTGGGCTGTAAAGCTGTGCTGTTTCATGAGTGGAGGGAACTTTGTTGTTTTCTAGGAAGATGCAGATTTTCACCTATAATGCCAAGTGGCAGGGCAGAGCTATTGTGATAAGAATACTGTCTAAAATAATTGGAGTAATCAAAAGGAAAGTACCTTCTAAATAATAGGTAGATGTTAATTGTTTGTAGAAAAGATCACAACTTTTATGTCCGTATTAAAAATAATTTGGTTGGTTGTAACTGTCTCTGTTTTTTTGGCCAATGTTTGTTTTTATGACTTGTGTTTTTACTCATATTTGAAAGAGTTGTTCATATTCCTTCCTGTGTGTGAAAGGAAAAGCACACAGAACAAGGAAAGAGTTTTGGATGTGCTGGAGCTGAAGTGCAACTAACCATACTGAGAAGTTTGCTGAGTATTTGGGGTAAAAAACAGGGTTTAGTAGCATTTCTTTATTAAATTTTTTATAGTTAGTTTAGAATATTTTTATTGAATTTGTTAACTGTGTATCTGTTAGTATTCTTCTTGGATATCTAAGTTGATCATTTGATTTTGTTTTTAAACCTCACCTAGGTTTCATTATTCTGAGGAATTCCAAAAATACCCATCGACATGCCTGAAAATCCTGCTGCAGGTATGTAGGCTGAAAGTGATTACTTCTGTTAAGAAGTGAGAAATGATGCTCGACTCTTGACATGTCCTGCTTTGTGGTGCAGATAAACAGCAGGTGCTGCAGATCCTTGATCGTCTGCAAGCAAAACTGCATGAGAAAAGAGATTCCCAACATTATGAAAACCTGACTGTTCTGCAGAACACCCTCAGGAGCCCTTTGTTTAACCAGATCCTGACCCTCCAGCAATCCATTAAGCAACTGAAGGAACAAGTGAGTGTAAAATTACAGTTGTTGGGGAGAAGATAACTATAGTAAACTTGGAACTTAAAACAGGGTACGTAGGTGTGTGTTAATGAGGAAGCTCTCATTAATAAGCTGTAAGTTGGTGTGAGTGAATGTTGGACCCTTTTTTTGGTCAAGCTAGTACCTACATAGGCAGTGCTGCAATGGGAAAGGGAATGGCAACAAACGGGTCACAGAGCAATGTGCTTTGAAAGGGATGTGGGAGATGCAGGGATGGGAACCACATCAGTCACAGAAAAGCATCTGCAAAAGACGTCAGCTGTAGTACTTTGAGTTCTGAGCACAGCTGGAACCGCGACCCTTTGTTTTTTACAGAAGCTAAATACTGTTTATCTGCTACCTGGCAGGATCTTTTCTCCTTAAAAGACATCATCACTTAATTTCTGCTGACATGTGCAAGAATGGTTAACCTTCTTTTGGGAAATATAATCTAGAAACCCACCCCTGATGATTTCATAGAATCTTAGGGGCTGGAAGGGATGAACTAGAGATCATCTAGTCCAACCCCCCTGCCAGAGCAGGGTCACCCAGAGTACATCACACAGGAACGCATCCAGGTGGGTTTTGAATGTCTCCAGTGAGGGAGACTCCACAACCTCCCTGGGCAGCCTGTTCCAGTGCTCTGTCACTCTTACAGTAAAAAATTTTTTTCGGATATTCACCTTGAACCTCCTATGCTCCAATTTACACCCATTACCCCTTGTCCTATCACTGGTCATCACTGAGAAAAGCCTAACTCCGTCCCCCTGACACTCACCCCTTACATATTTGTAAACATTGATGAGGTCACCCCTCAGTCTCCTTTTCTCCAAGCTAAAGAGACCCAGCTCCCTCAGCCTTTCCTCATAAGGGAGATGTTCCACTCCCTTAATCATCTTTGTAGCTCTAATTTGCCAAGCTCTGATGCAGATGTAGGAACTTCTGTGCGTTGGTTTATAACGCCATCTGACACTTAGCTCTTGTGGAGCTGGGCATCAATGTCACATCTGCATGAGCAGGTCTCACCATGCTGTTACCAGAGTCTGACATGTAAACTTAAAATCAGGGCCTACCTTGGCAAACCCTGAGCAGCAGCCATCCTTGTCTCTGCTGTTACTGCACCTGCCCAGCTGCAGATCCAGTGGGGTGGGTGTCATGGGGATGAGACCACCTTGCTGGCATTGCCAAAGGTATTGCTCATGTTCCTGCCTGAGTGGCATGGTGGTGGTTGTGCCATTCATTCTCCCTTCTCCCCATGTTCACAAATGTGCTGTTCCTTTGTTCCAAAAGAAGGAACCTTCCAAAGGTGCTCCTGCTCCCTCCTTCCAAGGCTTGGATGCATGTCTTCAAGCTATTGAAAAAGTATGAAAATGCAAATATATTTGACTGTAGCATGATGGATTTTATATCCAGAATGTTCAGAATTATAATATCTAGAAGATTTTATTATTCTTGAAATTCTTTTAAAGCATATCCCTCATGAACAGTTTCTCTCAGAATGGGATTTTTCAGTTTAGTATGTCTGCATTTCTTCAATATTTAGCAGGACTAGAGACTGAACTGCAAGTTCTAGTAATAGTAACATGTTCAGTGGTAGTTATTTTGTACCCTGGGCTCTCTTTGGAGAGGAGGTAATACAGACCAGGCCTTTGGCTCCTGAGTGACTAAGTGATTCTTAAAAAAAATAAGGATTCTTATGCCAAAATTGTCTAGGTTTGCCTGACAGTTGCAACAGTGCTTGAGGGCTTCTTTGATGTTGTTGCTTTTGCATGTGTTGTTTCTGGAATATCGGGGTGAAAAGAGGATAATGGGCACGGGCAGGGAAGCAGAGTGAAAGAAACTGAGAAAGTGAGTGAAGTAGAAACACAGCTGAAATATTCAGGGAACTTTTAATTCCAAAAAAACAGTTCAAACTTGGTATGCTTATAGCTTATATATTGACAGTGCCTAATTTAAACAGGTGAATAGGCATATATGAACATATGTATGCTTACTTCTTTGACAGTCTTCACACAAGATTGATATGTGTGGAAATGTTTTGGTTTTGATAGTTTTTCTACATCTTTGTTCATTTTCAACAGCTCAATTATATGCCTCCTGATCGTTCAGTAGATTTTGATTTTACAAAGAGAGGGCTACTAGTGTTTGCTGACAGATCAGTTGCTGCTGGGAGTGCATACACACCTTGCAGTTCACCTGAACCCAGAGCATCTACCTTCACTCCAAACCTGGGAGTCAATGACTTTAATGCAATCATCCAACAGATGGCAAAGGTAAGGCTCTTGGGTGTAGTGAACCAAACTTATTTTCCTTTAATGTCCAAATTTTTCTTGCAGGTTTTCACAGTGCATTTTCAAACACATTCTTTTGTTGTGTAGCTGGGGACAGTGTGGTGCCTCCTGGCCAGTAAGAGTAGAAATGCTGAGGATAACTTGTCCCTGTGAAAGATAATTTTGGAAGTAGAGGTTTGTTAGTGTTTTGGCTTTCGTTTTTTTTTCCTTTCCCAGTTTTTCTGTCTTACTCTCTACCAAACACACCAATGTAGAAAAGAAATTTCCATTGCCAGAAAACTTTCTTTGGTATTTGATGACACTTAATAGAAAATGGAAGTTATCTGCAGAAACTTGTTTTGATGGAGAGACTTGTTTTATCAAGTATATTTTAAATTGGAAATGTACCAACTTTGTTAATATATATGAACAGTGCAAATGATTAAAAGAAATGGCATGTAATATTTTATTTAACTCTTAATTTAGTATGTCTCAACTTTGCCAGACAGATGCTGATTTCATTAACATGTGATGTAGCATGTACCAGATGCTTATGGAAGCTGTACAGGTGCAGACATCCACCCATGTGGGATTGGCATTTATACCACAAATGCATTGTTCTGTGCTACTTTGAACCATTAATTTAATTGGTTAGTCATGCCTTTCTATACTAAGTAACTGTTGCTAATTGACTACCTTAATGTAGTTGTAATATTTTGAGCATAACTCTGCTCATTAGTGTGGCATTAACTCATCAGATAAAAAATCGAGCAGTAGAGACTGCACGTTAATTTGGATAAAACAGTTGTGATAGCAATGCGATTCTCTTAAGTAATATTTCCCAGTAAACAACCCCTGAACTCTTGTATTGGAACTGAGAAGCAGAAAGTCAGAAAAGCAAACTTTTTTTAGCATGAAGTGTGAAGTTGCAGGGAGGGGAAGGAAATTAATCTCTGTGTTTAAAAGCTGCAATCTTTTGAACGCACACCTAAAAATCAGCATTAAAAGCAAGGGGAGCCAAAAGACAAGTAATTTAGTTTAGCTATGCAGCATTTCCAGAAATGCCCAATATATTGCTCTCGACAGCACTTTGTTCATAGTTTCATCCAGTTTGGAATTCATCTTATAATGTGAATGAAGTGTGAAAGCAGCTCTTAAATTCCCTGAGGTTTCAGAGCCTCAAAGTGCTTGCATATCCAATACTCTGCTATATTAAAAATAATAAATGGGGGAGCTTTTATAGAAATAACATATTTAGTATTTTGCCTTTGTTTAGTCTTAGGAGGAGAAAAATTCTTCCGGTGTTCCTGAATTTTAAACTGGCTCATTCTATTGCATTAAAAATTAGTAAATCAATTTTTGTTTTCTCTTTTATTAGGGGAGACAAATAGAATCAATAACGATTGAAAAGCCTTCTGTTGGAGGTCTTGGATTTAGTGTGGTTGCCCTTAAAAATCACAGCTTGGGAGAAGTTGGTATCTTTGTCAAGGAAGTCCAGCGGGGAAGCATAGCTGACAGGTGAGATCTTTATAATTGGGTTGGAAAATTGCAGTGTTTCCATGAAGGAAAATGTCACAAGTTCCATGTTGAAAGCTCTATCATACTAAAGTGTTTGTTCTGGTGGGATGTTTTGATGGTATCTTGAATTCTGGCTTTTCAACTAAATGGTCTGATATTTTGAGGATCAGATTTTCAGATGAGTTTTAAATATTCAAGCTGTTCATAAATGGAATTTCCAGAAATCATGACTCACTTCAGAGAATCTTGAATACTGATTAAAAAACAAAAGAAAACTCAGAAAAGAATACAAGGGGGGAAAAATTAGCCTCTCTTTGAATTTTTATGTATTGTGTCCCTGAAAGATTTCTCTTTTCCCCCCTCCTGGTTTCTTTATTTATGTGCCTATGACAATACCCTATTTATAGTTGGTTTTACTGTTTGTTTCCTGTGTAAATTTAGATCCAGTCCTCCCAAAAGATCCCTTCACAGATGTCATAATAGAGTCAGGGCTCCAGGCAGTTTCTCCCCGTATTGTCTGTGGGTTTTCACCCAACAACAAAAGACAGAGCAATCCTTTTAAAATAAAATGTGATTGTAAAACCACAAGAGTTGGCATGAGACAAATGCAGTGCTTGGAATTATGTTTCAAGAAAATGTGTCTAAGATTTCAAGTCATTGGTGTCACTTTTTAAATAACACATGTCAGGAAGTGCCAACACAGGATGACAAAAAGAGCAGGGAGAGGTTGGAATGATAATGGCTATGGGCCCACAGAGAACACACCAGAGAACACTTAAAGAAAAGCATATTAGGCTCTTTCAAAGTGGAGACAGATGGACTGATCTGGATGTCAAAGGAGGGTGAATGTCTCACTTTAGGATTTGATGACCTGCTGCTCACTTTCTTTGATGAGAGAATCTAAAATATGGTTAGTGCTAGAAGAAAGTGATTTCTGGGAAACATCTTAAACATCGCATGATAAAAAGGAAGTTTAAAATGCCTTAGTTAAGATGTGCAGTTATATTGTTTCAGAGGTTTTATAAATTTCCCCAGTGTGCTTCCCGTTTTGCTTCTGAGACAAGATCTCTTGGAGACTTTTTTTGGATTCCTACAGAGCTTTGAAGGCAGTGTCTGTCTATGTAACAGTTTGGTCTCGTGCTCAGAATGAATATTTAACAAAGGAGATGAGAGATGGTTTCTCTCCTGTCACAAATCTAAATTCATCACTAGAGTGAATTAACTGTGAAATTTGTTATCATAAGGGAATTGTACTGTGGATTGCTTGAAGAAAGTTTCTTGTCTAAAGTTTGATACTATAAATTTTGAGTAAAATATAAACATGCAGCTCCTTGATCTTTAGATTAAATAAGGATTTAATACAATATCATAGCCTGAGTTGTGGTTATTTACGGGTAGTAGCATATAGTGCTAAACATAATGGGAACTAGGTCCTAGTGTATTGTGCAAGTACAAAAATATTTTTTTGTCTGCAGTGTAATTTGATATCAAGAAAGTATGAGAGAATTTAATTGGATTTTCAATAGAAGCAAAGGAAAAAATGGAGCAAATTTCTGTACCATGATACAGGTGGAACAAAGTCTGACTGGGCAGTTCATGACAGTGTGGATTACATGGGGTTCATATGTTGGTGAAGGCAGTCTAATAAGCAGATTTTTTTTTTTAATAGATAAACATTTAACCTTGCATAACTGTGTATTTGGCATGTTTGTATTTAAATTACACAAGCCTGATGTGAAGTCACCATGCTGCATCTTAAAATTTCTTTTAATGTTTTGTGAAGGGATCAAAGACTAAAGGAAAATGACCACATACTGGCCATTAATTGCACCCCATTGGATCAGAACATTTCCCATCAGCACGCTATTGCCCTCCTCCAGCAATCCATGGGATCTCTACATCTGGTTGTTGCTAGGGAGCCAGTTCAAGGGAACAGCAGAACTTCGACTGTCTTATTAAGTGATATAAATCCACCTGAGACTGTGAGTTGTTGTGATACTGGATTATTTTTCTTTCATGATTGTATTTGTGTTAGCAAGCTTCACACATCGGGATTTTTTTCTTTAATCAGATTTGAGATGTGATGACATTTCGCTTAGACTGATCATGCAATAAGTATAAGGCTTCCATTGCAAAGCTTCATGAAGTTGTTAAAAAAGAGATCCTGGGTTTTTATGGGCTGGCAGAAGCTTTGGTAGATCAACATATTCTTAGCATCAGGGTCTGTTCAGCATAGGCTGGGTAAAGCATTTTGTGAGTATATCCAGCTGAAACCTACTTGTGGTCAGCAATTAAAGATGCTCTGATTACATCTTACAAGAGTGTGAACATAACCTATCATGAGCACTGCTTGACATATCCCAACCAATTTAAATTGCCTAAACCAAAAAGCCATGTCTTTGTTTTAAAAACAAACAAAAAGTATCTGTTGAAGAACCTCTCAATCCCTGTTTATTTGTCAGATTTTTTTCTTAATCTGCAAATTTAATTGGTTGTGATCCCTCTTGTTTTCTTGAACAAGGAGACATTGTCCCTGGGACATGTAATAAGCTAGAGCTGAACTTCCCTCTGTGTTAAAACCCTGTGGTCCAGGTGGCTTCACTGAATTTGGTCAAACTGCACTCCTAAAATCCAGGGTTTGCAATATTGGAATCTTAATTTATTATGGTAGTAGGTTTTGATGAAAATCTGGTTAAGAGCAGTGCTTTGCCTTAGTCTCAGTAATTATTTCCCTCATGATTATTACAGAGCTAGTGAAATCTGAAGGTTTTAGTGGATAATCAATATTGTTTATTGCACTGAAAATTTTAAAGAATTAAACTTTAACTGCTTTTTCATTGAAAGATCTGCACTGAACAGACTAACAAAATAAAATACAAATATATATCTCTACAGGGGGTCTTTAAACTTCTTTTATGATATTTAACTGGCTTTGGCAAAGATTTTCAGTATGCTAATAAATCCTTTATTCACAGAAGACTTAAATCTGCCCACTTTGCTCCATTTTGGTTTCTATGAGATATTAATCTGACAGAAACATTGGCTGGGTTTGGGTTGCTTAACAGCTTTGTTATTTTCAGATTGTCTTGTAGAACATAAGGTCATGTACAGTGTAGCTTAGAAACATGCTTCCAATTCTGTATGGCAAAATATTGTACTGTGCTATTAATTCAGCATGTACTGGTGGTGTTTAGAGTAAGTGAAATAACAGAAGTAAGAATTTAGGCACTGCTAAGTGAAAAATAGGCCAGTGCAGGCATGTTCTCTCTGCTTGTCTCTGTTGGTTGCAGTATCCTTGTTTTATGAAAAACTAAGAAGATAGTTTTCTTTTTGGCAGGAAATCTCAACATTGCTTTTTCTCAGTCAAGCTTTTTCCTAGTTCCTATCCTGTTATCCTGAAAGTGAAGGACAAAATGTATGTTTAAAAACAGGTGAGAGATCCCACCATGTGTTTACAAGGGAGTCAAGTTGATGGAACAAAATCCAATGGATCTCCAGTATGTGGGGTAGAGAGAAAAAATTGCTCTGATTAATTCTCAGCATTCCTGGTACATGTGAAAATGAGAAACATTGAAGACTGACCGAAATTAAAATCTCCTCTTTTTATTAATTGCAGATTCACTGGGGCCATGTTGAAGACGTTGAGCTGATTAACGATGGTTCAGGATTAGGCTTTGGAATTGTAGGAGGAAAGTCAAGTGGAGTAGTTGTAAGAACAATCGTTCCTGGGGGATTAGCAGATCGGGTAATTTGTTATATTATGTCACTTCTTGTTTGATTGTTAAGTATAATTAACTGGTTTTGACAGTCTTAAAATAAACTAATATGCTGAAACAAAAGGAAGCTGATAGCATCAAAGTCTGAATGCCAACATATACTTTATAAGTAAATATGGTGAAGGTATGATTGAGGAAAAAGTCAGTGCCTGATATGAATTAAGTTGGTTTTCAGACATGCCTTGCCTTTTATAACATTGTTGAACATGCAGAAATTTTGAAAATATGTCAAACATCCTGATACTTTCAATACTTTTGATATTTTCTGCCTTTGATCAGTCTGGGGGAGGACAAATACTCTTGCTGGGTTTGCACATCCTCTGTAGAATTTGGCACGTTTGGCAACATCAATAGGGACAAACTCTAAACGAATTGTCAGGCAAGAGAATCTGCCCTGTTGAAGTAATTGCATTACAAGATTCAGTTTATAGATTGAAGATGTCCTATTTTTAGTGGGTTTTATTTCAAGGGATTTGATTCCTGCCTTGTGATGTGTTTGGTTCAAGGAGACCCTTAGGATTGACACAAAGCCTTTTCTGGCCCAGGCAGAGACTATCCAGTAACACAGAAAAGAGAGAGGCTAAGGTGCTTCCTCTACTGTAAGATGGAAATGAAAATTGGAGATTCAGAGTTTTACTGGCAAATGTTGGCTTTTGCATGACTGTCTCCCTCCAAACCTGTCATGTATAAATGAGTATTTTTTAATTATTGGGTAACACCTGTTTTGCTGTAAGGAAGAAAATGTTTTGGCTACAAATGAAGCATGTAAGTTAAGAACTCGCCACATCATTCTCGGCTGAATGAGACATCATTAAGAACATGTGAAATAATGAGCACGTATACATGTTAAAATTGGATGAGTTTATAAATGAGTTTGAGTTAGTCCTGGGAATGCCTCTGCCTTGATTACTGTATAAATCAATGCACCTAAGGTGGTGGAACTCTGCTGATCAATACCAGCTGAGGATTTGGTCCTATGAATGATTGCTTATAATAGAAATTATGATGTAGGACATGAATCATAATTATCATGTAAAAAAATGGTTTGTGTGGAGTCTTGTTACTTTCAGTGGATTTACTTGCTGGGGTTGGATTAGTCATGAGGAAAGAGTTGCCAGGTTAATACAGTATTAAGAAAAGCTTTAAAAAGTCATAAGTCAAAATGTTGTGCATTTTATTCTAACCTCTGTCTGATGAGGAGTATCCTGTGAAACAGCAACACATAAGAGCCTGTGAGATTATAGAATGTTGTGTTTTCTCCTAAATGAGAAAAGCAACAAATTTGTTAGGAAACTGGTATTCAACTTGAGTATCTGACTCAGTTTTGGAAAGGCTAATTTACCACTATTAAGTACTGTGGAAAAAAAACAGTGCATAATTGTGCAAACACTTCCCTGAATTATTGAGTATATGGCCATCCGTTTTACGGCAGTTACCTCTGATGGCCAGGAAGATGCCTGTACACGGTTTCGATTTTGTAATGGAAGAGGTATTTTCTGTATAGACTGGAAACATTTTTTACAATTTGATTTATGTTTGAAGGATGGGAGGCTCCGGACAGGAGACCATATCTTACAGATTGGAGGGACCAATGTGCAAGGAATGACCAGTGAGCAAGTGGCCCAAGTCCTGAGGAACTGTGGAAATTCTGTTAGGATGATCGTTGCAAGAGACCCAAAGTGTGAAATCATGGAGACTCCACCAGCTCCCGTGAGCTGGCCAGTCAGTACATTGCCTTCCTTTCAAAATGGAAATGTAAGTATCTGGTGTTAACTTATGACATTTTTAAGTATGTTTGTGGCTTGCGATCAAAAAGGAGGAGGAGAACAGAGTGTTCTTGAAACCTAAAGTGCTTCTCTCCTTTTGAGCTTCCAGATATCATATGCGTGTATTTAAGTGGTCATTATTATAGCTCTGCCTTCTATAATTTTTCCCTTTTCCCTGTGTGCTACTAATTCCTATAATCTCAGATCGGAATGACCAGCTTTACAGAATTTATTTCAGAGTGGGTAATTTAATTACCAAGACCATAAACATTATCGATAAATGGTACTTTTACTTCTCCTCCTTAGCTCATTACATTTTTGCTAATCAATCACTTGTAAGTGGATTTAAAACTGGAAATGAATTTCTCTAGCCTGAAATCCAGAGCACCATGGCCACACCAGAATTATTCAGCACAATCATCTTTTTATGAAACATAAGTGTAATGTTTTCATAGTCTACGCTACTGTCTGTGATAGGAAATATATCTAAAAATTTTGAAACTTGTTTTAGCAAATCTTATCATGGTCATATCAAAGTCTCTTGTTTTTGAAGTCATCCTTTTCAGTTTTGAGTAATTAAAATCAACAAATGCTACACTAAGTGTACAGTAGGTCTCGAAACATAAACAAAGCTGTGCTTGTGTACCATCTGCTACTACTGTGCTGCTTAGATTTAGGTGTAGAATCTGAGTAGCCTTTTCTTTCTTGTCTAGTTTCTTGAATATTAGTGAAGAGAGCTCTCTTTTTTTTTTTTTTTTGAAGCACCATTTTTAAAGGGCAGACTCGAAGTTACTGCTACAAAGTCACCTTCTCACTCACTGGGCATAGTGACTGCAAAGGCAGCCATTAGCTTTGTGCCTTACATCTCTCTGAAAGACTTCTGTGGCTGAAGCTGTCAGGGAAGTATCTTGTGTCCTTCTCAAGCTCTTCATCTCAGAAGAGGGATTGGTGTTGTAGAAAACATGAGTGGCAGAGAGGTGGGAGGGGGTGATCTCTGTACACAAGGTTGGATTCTTAAAATTGGGCCTAATACTCTGAAAAACGACTCCCAGAGAATCAGCTCAGTTATGAAGCACTTATTTTCTGCTTATATCCTGTTTTCCAAGACCTTTATTAGGAAACAAATTACATGGTCCTAGTTTTGTTTCTTCTATAAAATATAATTTTTCTCTCTTCCCCACCTCAAAGGCAGGCCTGTTTGTCACATTGCACATCCTGCAGCCTTTCTAAAATGTTCTTCCTTCTTGTTTCTTTTTAGTGTCCTCCTTATTCCTGCCGTGTAGTCTAGAGGGGAAAAAAAGTGTTGCAATTTCATCTATTTCTTTCTGAATGTCATCTATTGTTTTCTGAACTGAATAGTGCCTTCATATTTAGATTTGAAGAAACTCCTCTTTCTGGTGTTCAGAGATTTGCTGAAGTCAAGAATAGTGGCTAAGTGAATGTATTTATTAATTTAATGATGATTTTAATGGTCCACCTTTCAGTTTGTGTCTGATTTACAACAAAACTTTTTCCTATAAAGTAATTTCTCTCTGGTTTCTGTGTTCTTTCACTAGCTGTGAGCTTTGGCATAGAAATTATCCTTTTTCTTTTGTTTTGCAAACCAGCAGAAAGTCAGTTTTAATATATGGTTAGCTTTTTTTCAGTCTTATATTAATATTTGGTTTCCTTTGAATTTTCTGCAGTAGAGAATAACTGAAACTATGTATAACTGTGCATGAGTTCCTATATTTAGGACTCTCTGCTTTGATTTTTCCAGACTCCATTTCCAATTTTTTGATTCTACTAGTAACATTACTTAGAGAAAATTTATCTAGAGCCAGAGCACTTACTATGAGAGGCTTTTGATTGCAAAAGAGGAGGACTGTCAAGGCCATAGCTCCATTTCAGATGTTGCTGTAGGCTTCTTTACTGTTTTCCCTCTCCTAAAGATACGTGACAGAGCATCAAAACTTGTCTTCAACTCTGTCAGTGTCTTATAAAGCAGGAGAGTTGGAAAGCATTTAATGAGCATAATGAGTTGACCAGTGGAGGGGTAGGTGTGTGTGATAAGAGGTAGCTTTCCATGGATCTCTCAGTGAAAAATGAAATAGGTACAGCTGTAACTTGGGCCTGTTTTTAATACAGGTCTTTCCAGAGCTGATACTTGGCAAGTGTGTGATTAAACTTTGCTTTTGTTCGCTGTCTTAAGAAATGTTATGCAACATCCTGATCTATTTTTTGCTGTTGGCAAGGACACTATCCCTCTTCATTTCATCACTTTAACAGACCCTGCTCTGAGTATCTCCTGATTTTTTTTATCCCATTGGGCGATGTCTGCTTACTGAAAACAAACAGCTATAGGTATTTTAACTTATCCCTTGAGGATCTGTGAGCTTAATTGGTTTTCTCCTTGGTAGTACCAATATCTTAGTGGTGTCCTGTTTGAATCCTGTCTTTCAGTTTTAATTTTTACTTGTCAGAGTAGAGTGGTTGGACAGTGGGACATACTGAGGCCAGCTTTGTGGGGACTTTTTTCCATGTACAGTGTAGGATCAAATCACATTGTAATCTTAGCTAGTGGCTTTTATAGTTGTTTTTTTGTTTTAGTTTTTTTTTGCAATTGTAATAAGTGGAGGGTTTAGAGAACAAGTCATCTAATGTGCTTCTCTTTTCAAGTATTGCTTGTTATGATAAGTTGTCTTATCAATTCAACAATAAAGCTTTTGCAAATTGATTAACTTCCTTTCTCTGTTACATCTTAGAAGTAATTTCTGTTGAATGCAAACTAATTTTGCTTCCCAGTGCCTTAGACAACCTGTAGGCTTCCAGTGCTCTTTGCACTTTAGAGGTGTTTAAATCTGAAGAGGATCATATCAAACTTGTTAACCTGATGTGTGTAAGATTGACTTTTGGAATGGCTTTGTGGCTTGGGATGCAGCATAAAACCATGCAATAAGCTTGAACACCTACCTAGTCTCCCATAGTTGCATTCAAGTAGGCAACTGCTTCTGGAATAGAGATGTTCCTGCTGTGTATATACATGGGTTCTTTCAGGGGATCCAACCTGTTTCTGAGATCCCTTTCTTGCTGCCCCTCACTTCCTCCTTTCCTGATAGGTGATAGCAAGGAGAGAGAAGTATCATTTATTTCTGACAGCAATGTGTGATGTCATAACACTGTATATTTATACCAGGTTTCCATAAGGTGTTACACCTCTGACAGGGATGTGAAGGGAGTATTAGGAAAGAACTTAAAAAGCAACTAATGACTTTGGGTGTCACCTTATTTTCAGCAAACTTCTTTTGCAATTCTCATCCCTCCTAAAAAAAGAAAATCAAAATCACTGTTTACTTCTGAAGACCTTAGCCTGCAATATTGTAATGGTACTGGGAAATTGAGAATTTTTTTTAATTTTTTTTTTACTGTCTTTTGCTTTATTTATAGGATAATACCAACCTTTTTGAGACCTATGATGTTGAGCTTATAAAAAAGAATGATCAAAGCCTGGGCATAACAATTGTTGGATATGCTGGCACATCTGACATAGGTGAGTTCTACAGGATTTTACTAAGACTTACGACAGGAGCTTCTCAAATACCCTTTACTTGTTATGAGGAAAATGGGCAGCACTTCTTTGAAACAGTGTAACCTAAAAACTAGGAAGATATTGGAGAATTTGCCACTAAGTGAAATTCAACCACAACATTCTTACAACAAGAGCTGTTAACTGGCCTTTCAATTATTGGTTCCACAAATAGTATCTTTAAAATTTATTTACCTGAATGTGTGTTTTTACTGAAAGGGGGAGTGTTTATTCTCCCCTGTTCTTCCTCATGGGGCTCAAGAAAGTATTTGCGTGATGTGGTGGAGGTAGGAGTTGCTCTCCAGCCCTCTTAATTCCCAGGATATCCTCTTATGTTACTGGTCCGGAATCCCAGGCTAGTGCAGTGGGAACTGGGCTGAGGAGGAGCAATGTCAGGCAATGGGAAAAGGTGGGTTTGAAGCACTAGCAGGGGAGCTCTGCTGAGCATGGACAAACCATGTTGGGCAGGTGTCTTAGTTCAGAATAGGAAGGATGAAGTGTCGAGATTCATTAGAATTAAAAATCAGCATCTTGTGTTTTGTGGCACTTTGTGGAAGGGAAGGGTTCCTGTTTCAACTGGTGACTGGGGTTTTTTTACTGCTTTTTTGGTTGTTTTTTTTTAAATTTCATTGTTCTAATTAGAAGTAAGAATTATTAACCAAACATCAAACATGACAAAGGATAGCTTTCCATGTTTCTCTTTTTTCTTTTTAAGAAAAATCCTTTTTTGTTAAGATTTAAAGTACTAAAGTCTTTAGCTGTAGAAAGATGATTGAAGTCCTGATCAAAGTACTTAAGCACATACTTTTAGCTTAAGTAGTCCTGTTGAAATCAAACGCAGCATGGATTTAAGTCGTGGTGGTTTAAAGCCTGGGTGAGCACAAGGATGAATCCATGGAGGATGTGGCCTTTTGTGAGCCATTTGAAGGAAAAAATGAAGAAGGCTGTGTACAGGTGGTTGTGTCAGTGCTGTTTTTTCCATTAGAGATCCTCACTTGTAACTCCAGCTTTGTGAGTGGTAAGATGCAAACTTTGGTGGTTCACAGAATCATAACTTCACAGACTGAAGTGTGTAAAACATATTAAATGTCTAATTAAATGAGTAACTTAAAAATCTCAAAATGAACAAATTAGGTTAATGTAGTTACTTGTTTCTTTTCTACTCTCCCTATGCCAACAGAACCTTCAGGGATTTTTGTGAAAAATATAATACCTGGTAGTGCTGCTGACCACAATGGCCAAATTCATGTTCATGACAAAATTGTTGCTGTAAGTAAAATAGTCTGCTTATATATTTTTGTAGAACTAATACTTAATTGCACTTCTCAGTCTTAAAAGAACATCGTAGTAAGGACTACCTAAAATTAATTCGACCTTCTCCACTTTGCAGAGGAAATAATTTAGTGGTTCATATTTGTTTAGGTAGATTTGTAACAGAAATGAGCTTTGGCTTTCTGTGGTTAAAATATTATTTTATATTCAAAGAAGTAGTAAATAGTAGTTAACTGTGAAAGAGGCAGGCATTTGGATTAAAATGGTTCAGAGTGGAGAATCTTGGCTTTTGGCCTGAAGATGTGCAGCATTAGTTTCTATTTGAATTGAATGGGATTTGAGAATGGTTAAGATTTTCCAAGATGTGTTTTTGGTCTTTAATGACTGTGTAGCAAGATGTGGATATAATAAAAATGTTAATTGTGACAATCTTGGTTTAAAAATCCAAGCTTCATGTGTAGAAAAATGAAAATCATTGGATAACTGTGAATTGAATAATAGCCAATTTTGCATTCACAGTACAAGCAGGAAAGTGACTCACAGCAACTCTGGTTTTAATTCTCCTTAGAAAGAGAAATGGAAAAGCAATACATAATGTATTGGTCTAATGATCAAGAAAAAAGTGAATTAATGGCCAGGAAAATCTGACATGGGTCATTGCTTTCAGACTTTGTGTTGAATTGACTTTCACTTGCAGAACATTTTTTCAAAACCTAGAGGAATGAATTACACGGTCTTTTTGTTTTAAGAGGTAATATTTATAGAGTTATGATTTTAAATTATTTTTTAAACGTGTGCTATGCCAGACCTTCCAAACTCAGCTTCTCCTTTCTGAGAGGAAAAATTGATACGACCTTGTGCTTTTATTTGCAGTTTTGCAGGAGAAGCTCCTATTGATGCATGATCTAACAGTGAGGTGAACGGAGTATTCTGGGTGTAAATTTAAACATCTGAATGAGTGTAAGAATTGGGCTGTTGAGAGTGGATTATACAAAGAGTTCTGTATGGGGCATGTTAGAAATTCATGAGAAAACTAACAGTGATAATGAACTGAACAGAGTTCTAGAGTGGCTGCCCTTGCTGGAAGCTTAATCCACAATACTTCTTAAGCTGCTTTTAGTAAGCAAAAAAAATTGTAGGGGGAAATCGGTGCATACTTAGATTAGTAAATCCTGGCTTGTGGTTGCCCTGTGAAGTCAGAAGAAATTACTGTTGTGTTTCCTTTTAAAATGCATTTTGAAAATATTATCTAATCAGTGAAATATAACTGATTTAATGAGACCGGTTTGCAAATACAGTCTTAGGTGAAATAACTCAATAATTTCTGAACAAATGAGTGTGGATGTTGCTCACAGGTTATAGCCTAAGCATGTAATGTGATTGCTATTACATGATACGATTTTCTTATTTGAGGTTGATGGAGTTAATATACAGGATTATAGCAACCAAGAAGTGGTAGAGGCCTTGCGTAGCACAGGGCAGACAGTGCGTCTTACCTTACTGAGAAGAAAACCTTCTTCTACTATTTCTTCAGAAAGACCTTCAGACAGAGGTAATCCTTTTTGGTTTATTTTTTTTGTGGGGGGGTTTTTTTTAACAACTGATTTAATTTTTCAGTGCCATACGATCGTAGGTTTTGGCAGGGCACACTGTAGGAAATGAGATTCTTAAGGAGGAATGGAAAGAAACAGAAATGAGGATTCAGGAAAACTGAGTACAAAACTCCTGTGTATCAAAAAAAAAAAAAAGAAAAAAAAAAGAAGGAAATATTAGAGGTAAAATGAGGAAAGAACAAAAAACTAAATACATAACTTGCTGAAAACGAGTCATTGTTAAGAAGCACTGAGCACTTGCAAGCTTAATGCAGGACTGAATCAAATTCAAATAAACTGGTAAAGAGGGGGTAAGTTTATTCTAACAAAGGGCAACCTTCAGCCCCCAGTGTGTTCCCTCAGCGGTTAGTGATGTGATGTTACTACTTCATATGATTTGTAGCAAATTATTTATTTGTTTTAATCTGTTTTCACAGTGCAGCCAACTGTTCCAACCCCTAGAGCTGTAGGGACTGACACTAGTGTGGACAGTAAGAATGAGAAAAAGCAAGAGCAGGAGGATAATTTTCAAAAGGAAAAGAAGCAGAGTCTGCATATAGCAGGCGGATAGGATATCTTGCAATGTCTCTTCTGAATCTGACATTGTCTGTAATCCATTTTCCATACTGACGGGCTGTCATTCCTTACTCCATCTTTAGCTTGTGCTTTGTGATGCTTTTTATTCAGGTCCCTCTAAAGTTAAGCTCTACCTGTTGGGTCAGTTATTTGGCAAATATATGATAACTGTTCCTGATTTGCCATCTTGCCATTCATATCTTTGGAAACGGATTCCACAGGGAAGTATCTCATTATCTCTTCAGGGCCAAAGGTGAGACTGGCCTATAATTCTCTGGATATTCTTCCTTGCAGAAGGTTCGCCCTTTTTCAGTCATTAATGATCCCTCTTTGATTGCTGTGTTTTGTTTTGGGAGGTTTTTTGGAAATCACAGAAAAAGGTGCAGCCCTTTCAGTACTTTGGGATGAATCTTCATAAGCTCTATAGAGCTGAATGCCTCCAGCTCACTGATTGCTCTTTCTAGCCCTGGTCCTACTTTGATGACCTGACCAGTCTTCTCTTGACAGAAGATTTGTTCATCCTCCTCTGCTGCCAGGGTCCTGAACCAGATTGATAGCTGAATAGCATCAGGAGATGGAACTCTTGGGAGTTCACATTTGCTTCCTGATTCAGAGTTACCTCAGTCACATCTATCTTACTGCCTTCACAAGCCTTAGTCTCCTGTGTCTGCAGAGTCTTTTCAAAATTTGGTTTCCTGTACATCATCTCTGATGTCCATTTGTTAGAGTTTGGTCTTCTGGCACTGCAGTAGCTTTGTTAGAACCTCTTCCGAGCTACTCAGCTTTGCCTCTTACAGCCTGGGACCAGAGCTGCAGCATCCTCCCTCAGGAGTTTCGACAGAGTAAAACTTACTGAAAGACCAGAGGTGGCTGGCAGCAGCAGGGACAGGGGATCATGTCTTGTGATAAGTCTCCGCTTATAGGTAATTTTCCACAAAAATGAGATACCATCTCCATGTCTCTCCTGTGTGCCACATGATACGTAACTGTCTTGCTCTTGTTTGCTTGTCCTGCTTACAGTGCTCCTGGTCACTGTTGACTGCCCACTCGTGTAGACAGATGAGAACCTCTGGTCTGGCAAAGGCATAAAGACCTGATAACTGGAATCAGAAGCTGGACAGGAGTTCCAATTAGGCATGAGCTTTTTAGCAGGAAACAAAATTGTACATACGGGCAGATCACAAAGGCATGGATTACTTTTATTTTTTAGCTGTCTTGTGAATCCAGGTTGGAGGTCTTCCCAAAAGGCATGCTTCAACTACCCTTCAGATTTCTGGGCTCTTCTACAGGAACTTCTGGGTGAATTTCTACAGCTTGTGTTAAAGTCAGCATAAATTATCCTTATGCCTTGTAGTTTCTAAGATATGTGGATGTAATAGAGGATTCTAAATTATGGCTGTCAATGAATAACAATTTTGCTGTGATTGTGGAAGATCTGTCAGTATTAAAGACAACCTGGAAACAAGAGAAATGTAGCAGTTCCTGTCTTCCATGCTGTTTTACTTTTCTGTCCAAGCCTTGTAACCAGACATCCTTTGTTGTGACTTCTGCATGTTTCCAGAAATAGGAAGCCAAAATAGAGATGTGAGGTTACCAAAGCATAGTTTTAGCTGTGTGAACGGAAAAGTATATATTGATTTGTAGTTACAATGGACAAATAACTTGAGGACTTAGCAGTAGGATGTATCATGGGGCAGAAGAGACAGAAGGACTTAGGCTCACGTTGACAGGGACTAGAAAAGAGCAACACACACTGTCCTGTATCTCTTACCCAGTCTTTTCTTGCTGTGGAACTTTCCATGCATCGAATATTCTCTTTCTCTACTGAAGCAAGCAGTATCTCTGGAGTCAGTTCCTGACTACTCATAATTGGGTTATCTAGTGTCACGGGTGCAGACATCTGCCCTGATGCAAAGAACTTTCTAAGAAATTTGCTACCTAATACCTAGTGCTGTGAAAATATGGTGTAGCAAGGCCAGGATCAGTTTCTGCTGAGAACTGGAGTTTCTTTCACCTGGCTTGAAGATGACAAACTCTGTTAGCCTCAAGGTGTGTTATTTAGATGTGCCTCAGTGATCCCTGTTCGGCTGATAATCACCTTGGATCAAACTGTATTTTTCAGCCCTTCTCATAACAGACTCAAACTCCTTTGTTGTGGATCCACTGCCTCTCCATAAATAGTCCAAAGCCCCCTTAGTTTCAAAAGGAGTTTGTAACCAAGCTGCATGTGTATGAGTTGCTCCTCAAGGATTGTGCAAAACTTATCTCCTTCCTTGGAGCTCTGTGGAGTATTGGTGCAGCTGCATCTGAGTCTGGCTACAATCACTGCCTACAATCCATAGCTGCTGGATGGACCCATTTGATTCCTGTGTGGTTTATCTGCCCTGCTTTCCCCAGTGCATCAGGTAGCAAGTGTACTCCCAGATATTCCTGTTTTCCATTGTATCCAGACTCCCGTTACCTGGGAGAATACAGGACACTGTGTTTGTATGCACAGTGTGTCTTGGGATAGCAGAATTTAAACAGTGAAGGAACTGTTTGTTTGCAGTTGAATACTGCCCTTGGTACCATCTAGCAGTGCTGGTTGTCTTCGGGCCAGCAGGATGCTGCAGTGAGCACAGCTTTGAAACTGAGTAATGAATCAGGAGCTTTTCATGCAATGGTAAGCAAGTATCACTGCTTCATTAAACCAGGGTTTTTCATAGTGAAAAACCACTTTCAGTTACAAGGTTCTGCAAAAGCTTTATGCAACTATAAAATGTGTCTGTATCTCTGTTAAAAAGTTGAAATACTTAGTTGCAAATTTGACTCCTACTGAAATATGATGTATAACACTTTAACTTGGAATGGAATTTAATGGGCAGGTTTAAATTCCAAAGATAGGTGCTTATTTTGGACGTGGTGATGGGCACTTCATTATAATGGTGCTAAAGTAAATACTGCTAATTTAAGGCTCTGACTAAACTCTGGTGGAAGTGCTTTTAGAAGTTTAATGTAAAAGGCATGTTTTATAAAATATGTATTACTTCCCTTTAAGCCCAGTTGTGTGAAATTCTTAACTAAATTGTTTCCTGGAGAGGTATTAAAAGGTAGTTCTGGCCAGGCAAAACTGTGCTTTAGCAGTTCTGTTACAAAGGCAACATGGTTTAGGATGCAGTGTGCAGGAGACCTGAAACTTTCTGTTAGCAGCCTAGAGGCAATTAACTTCACAGCTGCATCTGCAAGACTGCAGACTGGGCAGAACTGCTTTCTTTTTTCCTTGCAGTAGTACTCAAAACTCAAAGACATGATGCTTAAGAACAGCTGGGAAAAAAATACCCACCAGTAGAGCAGACAAAGGTAGTGCATTAATGAAGTGCACTAGAGCACAGTGCATGTCCTTGTATAGGAAGATTGCAAAACCAGGAGAAAATTACAAGAAAAAATTACCCCAATTTTTGACCAGGAAAGATAATTTTCGCAATACATTTGTGATTGATTCTTGATGCCTCCTTATTAGAAGTGAAAAACCGTAGGGAAGTGTATGCAGAAGGACAGACTATATATGCTAAAAGTTGTTGCTGATGAAAGCTGTCCCTGGGCAGTGTTTCTATTTCTGAGGCCTTGCACATTTTAGATGTGCTACCTATCTCAGGTCATGAGAAATCCAGCTGGATGAGAGACTAGGAAGAAACTTCCGATTAGCTGCCATGTGGAAAAAGCTGTTTGAGAAAAAAAAGGAGCATTTTAAGTGAATTGGGTGATACCATTGGAATTGGACAAATTTATTCCAAACCCCTCCAGCCAACACTTCCACAGTTCTGAGGGAGTTACAAGCAAAGACTTGAAAATGTTTGAAAGAAAGGGGGAAACTTCAAATGAAGACATGCATCAGCACCTGCTCTGAGCAACTCACAGATTTTGGTAGTGTGTTTTGGAAGTGACAAAAAATCTGTATTCAGCCAAGTGAACACAGCTTACAGTTACTGAAATGGACTTTGAACTTGACCCTAGGATTCATTACTCTTGGTGAACCTTAAAATCTATATTTAGCTGAACAGAGTGTTGCAGGTGCTTAGGTCCTCTCTGTTCATGCTATATAACTGTTAAAACATGCTACAATAGCAAAAAAAAAAAAAAGATACTAAAGAATTTCTGTCCCTATGTATTTCTGCAATTAGAAGGAGCAGGAAAATACATTGCTGTTCTGTTTCTGCTACAGTTGAAAAGATAGTGATGAGCCTGTGCTTGATATCAAGGCTCGCAAAGACTACTTCTCCTTAGAAACTTCAATTAAATTTCAATGGAAGAAAAAACCCTCAACTCGCAGCTGAGAATTTCAGGACAATTTGTGCATCCCCTCCTTTTTCTTTTTTTAAGGACATGATTTATTTATGAGAGAGCTGTGTGCTGTATTTACAAACCCAAGTTTTTATCCTTGGTGTGGTTTCTTTTTGGTTACAGAAAGTAGTTATCTGAATTGCTGGAATCCTTGGGTATCTGTATCTCCTTAAGCCTAGAGGTTAAAGACGCTCTGGATATTTCCAAGTGAAATCTGAGTTGTTAGGCTCTGAGGAGTTTGGTTTCTCAGTGCATATCAGGCAGAATTTGCCTATCTGGCATGAGAGAGTGAGTGAAAGAGTTACAGTGTTGGGTTATACTGTTGTGCACATTAACTTAAATCTTTTGTTTTTAATGAGCAGAAAACTTCAAAGTTCTAAAATGATGTAATGAGGGTTGCATTGCAAAGCTTGTGTTCTATCTTTGCAGTCTGCAAAGGTGTTGAAGGCAGAGGCAGGTTGACATCCCATTTGTGTTGGCTTCTGCTAGTAGGTAGGCTCTGAGCTGCTCTTGGTATCTTCTAAATCCCCCCGGAGGTATTTTACTGGTGAGCTTGTGTGCAAAATGCAAGGTTGTGATTTACATTCTAAATTTCAGTACAACACATCAGCCATACTAAGAGGTCTGTGCCTTGTCTAGACATCTGACAAACTATTACAGTCAGTCAGGGGGAAAAAAAAAACACATCTAGTTTTCGGTAATTCAGCCCCCAGTTGCTGCTGCTGTAGCTGCTAGATGGAATTTGCTTTCGAGCTTGATTCCTACCAGTTAAACATTGCTTCAGCTTGGAACTTTATACGTGCACTGAGCTTCTGGATGAGGTCAAATGCAGGGCAGCCAGTCATTTTATGCTGTCTAGCTCTGTCAAATTGTCTTACATGAATGTAATACTGCCTTGGTTGCATAAGTAAGAAAGCTGAAAAGATATAAATGTCAAGATAGCCCAGTTCCCACGGAAGACTGGTTTAGAACTGGAGCTTATATTAAAGCTCATGTTACTTAGTGGTCTAATTAAACTAGACAAGCCTTTATACCTGCCAAATGTATAAATAAAGTCTGTGACTGCATTGTGCTGACACAGCCCCTCGATAACAGCAATATCTTGTCAGGTGTTTTACTTCTTAAGGGAGTTCATTTTGGTGGGAGATAGTGCTTCCCTGGAGTGGCAAGCATTTTTATAGCAACAAATTATGAAGTCATGTGAAATTTGTTTCGCAGCCTGAAAGAATGATTTATTTACAGTACTATGTGGTACAGAACTCTCATCTCATCAATGCAAGCATCACTTCTTCTGCTTCTCAGTTGAATAAATCACACGTTAGCAGTAGCTGACATTTTGCATTGTTTTCCTAAGAAAGACATTTTTGATTTGCACTGCTTGATAGACTCAGCTTAATGCACTTTCCTTTTTGGGATTATGCCTTCTAATCTTTTATTTACACTGAATTTTTATTGAAGTATTTAGAAGTATATGTGCTTCTCAGTGTGCAATATGCTTGTAAATTTAATACTCGCTTTCATATTTAGGAAGAGTCCCACTTCCTCCAGCACATGAGCTGAAATCCAAGTGGGAAAACCTGCTGGGACCTGAATACGAAGTTATGGTATGTTATCTTTCAATAAACTACACTCATGTATGTTATTTCTTGAAATTACAGATCTGTGAGCTGAGCATTACAAGCTGTTTATAGAACAGTTTAGTGTTAGGAACAGATCGGTAACATCAAATTTTGTTTCCCATAACATCAAGGCTGAAATATAGGAGTGTTATAATAAGGTGTTTAGGTTTCTTTTCCTTCTGTTTATATAGATCCTATTGTTTTACAGGTACTAGATAGGAACAGTGATTTAAGAAAATAAACTGTCCTTTTAAATCTGCATCACAGCAGCCAATTAAAATAGGTGGCATTTTTATGATTTCATTTATTATCTGTTTGTTTTACTGTGCACTGAGAGAAAAAAAGACTCGGGGTAGAGATCCTGTGTTTCATGAAAAATCTTACAATTTGGTTAGAAGAATGAAAGAATTATTTTCAAAAGTGCTGGGAGAATAGGAAGTAATTCATGGCAGTGTAACTGTGGTGCTGGTGTCTATTAGATATTTCTTCACCTCCTATTAAATAATTGCCAAGCAAAAGATGGTTTTGATGAATTGTCATAAGGAGCTGACTGAAATTGTAATTCACTGCTGCTTTTCTGTGCTGTGTTAGCCACTGAGTCTAGATAAAAGACTCCAGCCAACGTTCTTTCCAAAGATTTAAAAAATTCTCACCACCACCACCAAGAAAATGCCCTGTTTGTCTTTGCAACGCTTGTCCATTTGATTTAGAGACACTTATTTTTACTACTTGGAGTAGCCATCGCTTCAGTCGCTCTCTGGAAGATTTAAAGTAGCTTTAAGAATTGCCTTGAGAAACTCACTTCTCTTCTTTCCATTAGCACTCCTTTAAGATCTGGAGTTCGTGTAAGATTATGTACATGATGCAATAAATCTGTTTGGCTGCCCACTTCAGTTGCTTGGTATTCCCATCCTTACATTTCAAGAGTCTGATATTACCTCCCTTAGTGCTATCGTGCTTCCCACAGAGGACGAAAACCTGCTTAGTTTGTGAAACTCTGTTTCTAATTCTTCTTCAGCTGCCGCCAGTAAAATGGCAGGAGTGAAAATGTTAATGATTGCTCCTTTCAAATAATAGAAGGAAACTATTGTGGCATCCCATTTTGAAAGTATTTTTTTGGTTCTTCCAGCTCTTGTTGTCTGTACCTACCTCTAGTCTTCCTTGGCTGTGATCATTAACAACATTTAGTTTGATTCAGCCTGGTAAGACAGTCTCTGTTTCACACTCTCCTCGCCTTCTACGCTTAGGTCCCAGGAAGTCACCCTGAAGGTGCCTGTGGGATTGAGTATTATTCTCTCTGAAGTATCTCTCTTCAGAGGAAAGTGTTTGAAGATTTGGTGTCACTCATAGCTTCTGTGTTTCTGATCCTTTGTGGTAGCAATGGAAGTTGCTGAGATCCTGCTAAAACAGAAAGAGATCCTGGAATTCTGTACAGGGATGTATGACTGTATGGTATTTGGTGTCAGGTACCTGAGCATAAGCAGTCAAGCTGAGGAATTATCAGCCATAAATTCATTTAGTTACAACTGAATGGACATGAAATGGATTCTGTCTGTCAGGAAAAATACCCTAAAACCTGGAAAACAAGGTGCTGGAAACCCTATTTAAAATCAAGCCAAAAGAAAAAGCTGGGGCTTAGTATTGTTTTGTAGACACTTTGTTAAACTAGACATTTTCACAGGAGCTTGAAGTTACCTGATTTTGTCCAAGGCTTTATATTTTCCAAATCCAACAAATGTAGCACTCCTCCCAAACAATTTCAGCTTCAGTGTCTTTAACTCCAACCCTGGGCCATAGATCACCACAAATGTCATCTGATTACATTTCAAATTGGAGTAAATAACCTTCTAAGGTTACAGTTAAATTATGTTAAGCAAGAACACTACAAGAAAACCTGTGGTGAATATAGTTGTTTTATTAATATAAAAAAATGAAGATACACTGAAGAGTTTTCTTGTCACTCTTAAATAATCCACTTTGCATGGAAATTTGGTAATTAAACTCATCTATTTCAAGCCATGTTAGAAACATGCTGCAGAAGATGGTGGCTTAGTCTACATGTTAGATGGCTGTACTTTAGCCTGAAGTAATAACTTAAGCTATCGTACTTTTCCAGTTCTGTTTGGCAAGTCAGTTTGGGTATTTGTGTCAAACATAATGGCATTTTGTGCTTATACAGGATTATTAAACTTGACTAAAATTGGCACTCGGGCTTCGGGAATAGGATAATGCTGGAGTCTGCTAATACTGCATAATCACCACGTTCCTAGTTGTAAATGTTCTATGTCGGAAAGATATTTGTTTTAAATTATTTTGCATCAATGTGACTTTGTTTTAGTACAGTTTATTTGGCTTATCAGGTTTTTTCCTGCCAGAATTCATCATTCTAGTAAAGGCTTTATTGTCATGCTATTGAAAAGTGTTCTGATGTACAATTTTTAGGTTGTGAATGTGGATACGCCCATTACAGATGATGCGGAGCTCCAGAAGTACTCAAAGGTATGTTAATATTGTGCAAGAGGTGAAGCATCTATATACTTGTGGGGATGTCTCAGTGAAGAAAGGCTGTAAACTCATCAGTCATGGGTTTGAGGGGATGTTCAGGATTAATGGGTTGCTCCTTTTACTTGAATATCCATAATTACCGGGGAACCAGAAGGGCAGTCAGTGTTTCAGTTTCAGTAATAAAAAGCCAGAAAATGGCCAAAGTGAAGGAGCAGATACTGCTGGTCATCTCTTCTCCCTAGGCTGCCATAATTTCTGCTTTCTTGTCTAGGTAGTGAATCAGTTTTGTGCTACCAGACCTAAGAAACAAATAGTTAGAGGCTCCCTAGAGAAAAATTCCAAATTAAGGAGGCCCATTGGGAAAGGGTAACAGAAAATTGGTGATTTCACCTTGCAGAAACAAGGTTGCCAGTATTATTAGCTATTCTCAGAGGATACTTCATGGATGTTTTCCATACCTCAAAGTAGTATAGCACCTAAAGGAATGAGACAGCTGATCTTGTGATGAGTTTTTATGGTCATTATGAGACCATATTTCATTCACGTTTGTTGAAAACACACCTTTTGGGTAGGATAGACTTTAGGTGGTACTTTCCTCTGCATTTTTTCCAATATGGTGAACTTAGAATAGAGTTGAAATTGCCTTTTCCCCCAAAGGGTAGATTGGTTGTTTTTATTTGTGCAAACACTTTGTATATGGACACTTGTGCTTTAATGCAGATGATGTCACTATGAAGACTTAATCATACTGTGTGCTTAGTTCAATTTGGTGAGCTACTGAGTCCTAAACATGTTTGTATTGTGGTAGATAGAGGTATCTACATTCTCATCTGTTCTTATCTTTTGGCAGCTGTTACCCATCCACACTTTGAGATTGGGAGTTGAGCTTGACACATTTGATGGGCATCACTATATATCATCAATTGCTTCAGATGGTCCAGCTGCAACACTTGGTCTTCTGCAACTGGAGGATGAACTTCTGGAGGTAAAACCAAAACAACCCCCCCAGAATAGATGTATTTCCTGTTTGCTTAGCCTTCTTAAATGCTTCCATTAAATTCTAGCCTGGCTGCTGTGTGTGCAGTAGTAATCTTCTCAACTTGGTTGTAGGGGCAGAGTAGTGCTTTGGAAGTCACATTCATTTTCTTCAGTCTTTCATTCCTCCTTTGAGGAGGAAATGACAAAATGTCAAATTCTTGTGACCTCTTAGTGACTTCATGGGGTTTCTTTGTGAAATGTTTTGAGTTACAAGGGCACAGATAATACTTGTGTTGAATGTGTTTGTATCTGCTGTCCTTATATTTAGCTCAGTCTTTTGAGCAGTTTGACTTCAGCTTTTATGGTGGATAATCTTTCTTAATATTTGTCACTCCTAAAAAATTTACAATAGTCTCAGGAATAGTGGTTTCTGTTACACATTTATAACTTGCCTGTTGAGTGTTGAAAGACATTTGTGTGTACTAACAAGTACATCAGTTTGTTTAAATATGTATTAAGTGGTTGGTACTGGGTCAGCTTTGAAGTTACTGGAATCGGACCAGACCTATTTGCTCCAGAAAAATATTTATCTGATATTATTAAAATAATACCTGTTTTGTTTGTTTGTATGTGTATCTGTGAGAATCTCAGCCTACAAGTGAAAAGACATTAATTTCCTATGGAATACCTGCTCTTTGTGGAGTATTTTGAATTTGAACCTGGATGCAAAGAACATTTAATTGACATAAATGGAAACAGAATTATGCCTTCTGAAAGATTAATTTGTTGGGTGTACAGCTCTCTTGCTTTTACTTGTTGTTCATCCTTTAACATCAAAAATTCATACTGTATCACTAAGACCTAAAACATTTTCTTCAGTTATTGCTTAATGGAGGAAATCTTGATTCCGAAAGGAAGGGATTAATGGAATACTGGAAGTGTTGTATGAATTCTTCAGTCACTAAACAAAAAAATATATACAAATAGCAATAATGTAGGGCTACAGAGTAACTTAGGACACTAATTTTATATATTTAACAGTTTTACTTATTACTGTGTACTTACAATTAAGTTCAGGTATGTCCAGACCTAGTGAGCATAAATTTTTTTCTACTCTGTAGCTGGAAAAAAAACCCTCAACAAAATAAAAATGTGTTCTGGGGCTAAAGCTCTACATGCCAGGTTTAGCCCAGGGTATGTTCTTGCAGCCAAGTTATAAATCCCCTTAAGTAGGGGTTTACAGTGGAAAAAGTGACAGCCCCTTCCCCCAAACAAGCTGCCTGATACAGTTGGGATTAAAATGTGATCAGCAAGGAATTTTTTTTTAATATATAGTGAGGTTGAACATGGATTATTTTTAATGATGTGTTTGAATTGTGATAGAAAGCATGGCATTTTCTCCCCCTCCAATTTTAGCTAATTTCATTGTGCTCTTTTTTAGAAGTAAATTGCTTCCTTGTGTCCTTCTACTTTTGTTATAAAATTTCACTCACTCCTGTTTGGTTGCTCAACTAACTGGAGTGGTGTGGTGAGTGAAGGGGGTGGAGTGTACCTCATGTGGTTAGAGGCTGGTGTCTGGCAGCTGCAGAAGAAGAAATGGGAGTCCCTAGGTCTGCTTGGGAGTGTGTGGTAGCTCTTCTCCATCAATCACAGTTTGCTGAGAAGTGCTGGTAACGTTCCACCACACTGCCACTCTCAATCCATTAAAAAATCCTTACGCGTAGATCCTTCTGCTTAAATAATTAACTAATGGATTAGCCTGATAGCTCAGCAGTTGTTGTAATTCTTACAGAAAAAGCCCGTAGCAGTTTGTGTTGCCACGTTGGAGGCCTGTTACACCACTCTGAATTTTTCTCCTTGGCTGAGAGGAACCCTGTGTTTCCCAGCAGTTTCAGCTATATTTACTTTGTAAAAAGCACAAAAGAAAAAAAAGTGGGGGAAAATAGAAGAGATCAGGAAGAAAATGGTGGCTCAAGTGAGATTGCTGTGTAGTCTTGCACAAGATTGAGTCCCTCTAAGGAGCAGGGAGATTTGGAAAGTACATGGTGAGGAACTGTCTCAAGTACACATATTCAGAGGTGTGTACATGTATGTTGTGTATTTGTGTGCTGTGTTTTCTAGGGTCAAATGTGGGTTCATCAAATGAGCATTGCAATTTGGGTATGGAGTGAAGTAATGAAGAGAATCTTCAATTATCCCTACTTTGCTTTGGTTCATGTTGAGGAGTGGACTTGAATGATGTGTACCAGATTCCCAAACCAGTGGTTGCACTCCAGGGACTTTGGATGTTGAAATACCTTGAAAGGAATCCCTGAAACACAACAGATGTTAAAATTGAGTCCATAGCACTAATAGCCCTTGCTATCTGAGGGCTGCACTGCTCATCAGCATGGATGATGGTCACATCCATGACACCTTCTGATGTTCTGCTTTCCTCATACTTAAGGAGACTGCTATGGTGCAAACAGAATCATGTCATAAAATTAAAGATCATCTAGATCCAAAACCTTTGCATGGGCAGGGGCATCTCCCACTAGATCAGGTTGCTCTGAGCCCCATCCAACTTGCTCTTGAACACTTCTGAGCATGGGGCTTCCACAACTTCCCTGGGCAACCTGTTCCGGTGTCTCACCACCCTCATAGTGAAGAATTTCCACCCTCATGACATTGCAGGTTATAAAACACAAAAAAGAGGATGAATCACTGTAGTTTTATTTTCCTGAGGAAGTACAACTGCAGTATCCCATGTTTAAAGCAGCATTATTACCTATCTATCTATCTACCTATCATATGTTTTTTTCTTAATCTGTGGTTTAAAACATCCATTAACAACAGCCTTATGGTCCTCTGTTGTTACTTGGGATGGTAAGCTTTGACCTTTGTCAGGGTTTTCTGATTAATTGCTTACTGTCATTGTTTTTTTTTCTTTGCTACATAAACATTTGTGCATGTTTTCTGTAGGATCTATTTTAGTTTCAACCTGTTAGTTTCATTTTAAACAACTGACAAAGTTGTGCTACTTCGGACTTCAAGTGTTTGGTTAGAGCCCAAAACCTCTAACCCTCTAAATTTGGGAAAATTACATTTGTATCTTTTTTGAAGTCATAAGCCTAATGCTAAAGAAAATCCCCAACAAAGAAATGGGTGGAAATGAAAAAACAATGGTAGGGAAGATTTAGGCTAGGAAAAGCAGGGAGCAGAACACAGGTGAGAGGAAGCTGAAGAGAGCAGAGCCAGGATGAAGAATTGCAGATGAAGTTCAAACTCCTACAGTAATGCCTGCAGGTTTTGCCAGGATCCCTGAGGTATAACTTGACTTTTACATTCAGCTGGGGAAAGACATGTTGGCAAAAAATGAAAACCTGGATGGTCTCTTTTAAATGAATCTTAATGTGGATCTGTGTTTCTGCTTCTGTGCAGGTAAATGGGGTTCAGCTGTACGGAAGGTCCCGCCGAGAGGCAGTCACGTTTCTGAAGGAAGTGCCACCCCCCTTTACACTGGTTTGCTGCCGACGGCTTCTTGATGATGGCAGTGAGTCTCTTGTGGATGAACCCACCATGGGAGTTCCCCCTCCTGAACAAAAGGTAGACCTCTTCCCCTGTCATTCAGTTTTGTGAAAGGACAAGGACTCTTTGAAAAAGTAAACGCATTTCTGAGAAACTTTCGAAGGGCAGTGTTTCTGTTTTCCTTTGGTTGTTTGAGTCAGACCACTTTTCAGTCTTTAACATTTCCTAAAAAACTAGAGTTACAGGAGATAGTTTTGTATTACACTGTCATATAAAGCCGCCTTTGCCATTCACCTTGGTCTTGTAAGGGACAGTTGGTGTTTCAGTGAAAGATACTTCATGTTTGCAACACTGGTACTGGTACTACAGTTTATACAGGTTGGTCATGAGAAACTTGGTTGTACTATAAATACCAGGAAGGTAAATCACCAAGCTAGCATGCTGACTGTATACATCCCATTCATCATTTGTACACTTAATAGGCGAGTGAGAGCTCTGAATGATACTAAATCACGTCCTTGCCACCATTAGCTGATTACTTCCATGTTCTGAGTAGGTTTTTATAGAACTGAAAAAAAATGAAACTTAATGTTTCTTTCCATTTAAAGCTTGGAAGTCTTAACTAAAGCTTGGCACTTGTAATGGTTGTTCCTATTTACAAAAAGTCTTGACTCTCACCTTTTCTGATATTTTCTGATCTGTTTTCCTCTAAGGCAGAGATTTAAACAAGAAATATGGATATTTCATGGAAGAATAAGGTGTACAGCATGACACCTTTTTGTGAAAGACCCTTTCTGTTGCAACAGAACTTGTTCCACTGTGGTTTTTGATGTTGCATTTTGCTGAACATTTTCTATATGCATCCAGTCACTTGCACATCTTTGCCATAGATATTGAGTGAACAGAGGTTGTGTTCTCCCTAAAGCAGTCTCACAATATTTCTGCTTTCTTTTTTCAAAATTATCAAGGAAGAGTGTGTGGAAGAAAAATGCTTTCCTTTTGCCTACAGTGCTCTGTGTAATAGGCATATTTGTCCAAAGAAATAAAGTTAAAGCAGTGTGAAGTTAATGGTGCAAGATTGTAATGTTTTTCTTGGGACACTATGCATTGGTATTTTGTAAAGATTGTTATTGATAAAATGGCAATAATGTTAAAACATACATTTTAAGTTAGACAACATAAGATGAAGGTAACTTTTTGGAAGATGTATTTATGAAGCTGTCCTTACCCAAGAAAATAGCATAACTGTAGGTCTTTATTTCATACCTTAGCACAAAAATTGGGAAAGAAACTGCTTTTTCATATTAGATACTATTTATATAGTTACAATAAAAGGAATTTTTGTTTGCTTATTTAATGCCACGAGTATCTGATGTGCCTGATCATTGGGTATTTCTATTAGCTGTCTGTGCTTAAGACTTTTATGCTAAGATATTTATTTTTCCTTTATGCATCTAATGGGACAGCTGAAGTTCATCAACATGTAACAGGTTAGTAATACTGTAACAACTAATTTGACTAATATGTGGTTATTTGTATACCAGGTTGGGCTCTGATGCTCAAAACATGTAGGCCTGGTCTCAGGAGAGTATCCAAGGCAGCAAGCTGGAGAAAACTGGATTGTTAATGACCACTGAAGTCGTAATTCCATAAAAGGTTATATTTTAGGGCATGTATGAGCCATTAATAATCAAGATATTGAAGGAACAGTGTTTGTAAAGAGCTGAAAGAATAGTATTTGAACTAGAGCTTTTATTTTCCAGGTGAAACCAGAGGAAGACATTAATCCTAAGGAGGAAGAAGGGGAATTAGCATTATGGTCTCCTGATGTGAATGTTATTCAACTGGAGAAAGACAAAAATGGTTTAGGATTCAGCATTTTAGACTATCAGGTATACTTTTCTGTATAACTAAATACTAAAAATCCTTTTGATCCTTTGTCTTGTATAGTGACTTAAAATGTTTTGTGATGTTGATTACTGAGTAATTGACTTGGCACTTGGGCCTAGGACTGTTTAGGGAAAAGAAATTTATTTTGATGCCAACTGTCTAAAGTATAGAGTAGAGCTTGTTCTAAACCAGTCTGATTATCAGATGTGATAAAGTGCAAAATCTTTTATCAAACTCCACCTCATAACTCTTGAGTTTAGTGGCTAAATGTTGGGGGAGGTTGTTTTTTTGTTTATTTTGTTGTAACTTGGAATGACTTTTCAACTATGAGAGTGCCAAGTGTCTGTAAACGCAAATTTGCTTTAATACACTTATCGAATTTATTAGTATGAGAAAAGAATTTGAAGAACCTGATTAATAATTTTTCAGTTAAGCTTTTCTGCTTAAACTCGTAGAACAGCATGCCAGAGAGATGGGTAGAATTTTTGGAGTGAGGGAGAAGGGGACAGGGAAGCTGACTTTCAGAAGTCATTCATAGCTGAAAACCTTTCCTCTCCAAGAAGAACCATCTTGGGGGTGGTTTTATACTTATTTGTTAAACTTGGAAATCCACAGACAAGTCTTTAATTGGGGGGAAATTCTAATAAGATTAATCTTTCTTTCAAAAATATTGGCTTCTATTAAAGATATAGAAACTCTTGAAATCTGCAGTCAGGATGAAATCTTAATGTTTGTAGTCAATGTGATATATTTTTAAACCTCTAGTGATCGTATTTATAAGGAAATAAAATAGCTGGATCACTCTGCCTAATAATATACACATCACAGCTGAATGCTGCCTAAACATTGTACTTCAATAAAATATGTTCAACTGTTGTGCAGAAATGTCAAGTGATACAAAATTCACTTTGTGATACAATAAGGCATGAATTCGGAACAAATTAGAATAAAAAATATTTGAAGTATTATGCAAAACCATTAATTCTGTATTTTACCAGTGTGAGTTAAGATTACTGAAAATAGATCCTGTTAGTCGTTTTCGCTGACACATGTTGTGTTGCAGTGCCAGCTTTACTGCAGAGTTGCTAGGAGTCTTTGCAGAGCAGTATACACAGATTTGCTTTTAAGTTCTCATATAATCAGAATTAATGAAGGCTTTAATAACAGGCTTTTTATTTACTTATTCGCAGATGCAAATACATGAGCAATGTTGTGGTACTTTCAGCTAAATTTAAATACATTCTAATCAATTCTAAATGAGTGGTAAACCACTTAATCTCAGATCTTTATAATTTCAAGATCTTTATGTATAAAGTATGCTCTTTTGTTTGGGATTTGCCTCTTAGATCTTTTGCACTTTTCATCATCTGCAGATTAATTTTTATAGAGAGATATTTGTGACTGTATGTTTATGTAAATACATCCATCACATCTTGAGTGCAGGGCAAAGAAAATAAATAATTGTCCATGCTAGATTGAAGGCAGAAGGAAAAAAAGTATGTGGTTCCCAGGAGACTGTTCAGAATTCCTCAAGCAGATTTGCTGAGAAGGACAAAATTACAGTGAAGTGTTTAATTGTGGCTTAAAGGACCTGGAGACCTAATTGTGTTTTCTATATTTCTTTTTCTTCTTCATGAAAAAAATGGAAGTAGTTTGGTTTTGTTTTTTTTAGATAAACAGCTTTATGTATTTACATGGAGATGCATCAGTGGAAGGACCAACCTTTCTAGGCTCCCATTAGTGTTGATGGAGGCAGGGTGGTAAGGAAAAACTTCAGGAGAGGTGATTCTGAGAAGGCCTGTTTGTGGTGCTCAGAATTACACTTCTAAGGACTGACTCTCTGACTGTTACTGAAGTTCAAGGAAACTTTGGCGTTGTGTACCCAACTTGGGAGTGCTGTGACTGTATTCTGGGTTTTAAAGAGAGAATTATTTCTGTAGCTATTGCTTGAAATGGCACTATAGAAATATCTGTAGGACTTCAGGGAGATCAGCTGGAATAGTAAACTAACATTAGAGAAGAAACAATGACAAATCACTATTATTCCATTTTACTTTCCCCCCACACACACACCAAGTTCTGATTAACACCCTGGAAATGCTACTGCAGTACCAGTGTATACCAGCCCATTTCAGTCGTTTCCTCTGAGGGGCTGGTGGCTGTTATCTGTAGTGTTTAAGAACCCCTGAAATCCTGCTCATCCAGATGTGCTCACTCATGACAGTGAGCGATGCCAGATACACTGCAGAAGTGGAAGAATGCAAAGCAATTAGAGACCAGGCTGCTTACAGCACTGTGGAAGTTTCTTCCTACCACTTTCCATTCATGTTTGGTGTTTGTTTTGAAGCACGAGGCTTTTTACCTTTTGATGATAGAATTAGATGTGGTGCTGACTATCCTCATGGTATAGAATTTATGATATTTGTTGCTTTGTTTTCTCAAAACTGATCACATACTTGGCAGAAAGTGTGTTGTGCCTCAGTTGTCTGAAATGCTGCACTTCCAAAATCATGCTCTGAAAAACAGTATTAATAAAAGTGCTTGAGGAAGAATAGGAATCTGAGTATGTAGAAAACTGAATGCTGAGATTGAGAAATTATTACTCTGGTATATTAATTTTTAATGGGATGTCTTTCTAATAATGTTTCATCTATCAAGTAAATGATAAGCATATCCCAAGTGACTTGCAGGATATTCCCAGAAATGTACAAGCATAATTCCAATGCCTATATATTTTAGTGAACTAATTACAAATTAATTATACCAATTATGCGTAATCAATAGTATTTCTACTTTGTCCTGTGTTTTCTCTTGTCTGTCTTTAGGGATTTAAATGCTTAAAACAGAGCTTTCCTTTTTTTTTTTTAAACAAGGTCCTCTTGGAAGGACTGTTCACATGCTCCCAAACTTTGGGATGCCATTACTGAGTAGACTGACCCTTTTTGATGTGACAGAACTGTGATTACATAGGATACTTTCCAGCTTCACACGATCACAATGCATTAAAAAAATACCTTTTTTCCCCTTCGTTGAATGTCCTGATTTGTAATTATGCAGTAGGAAATCTGAAATCTTTGAGACTGCTGCTTTGTGAGCAAGGTCAATACTTGGTGAGAGGGGAGATGGCTGGGGAGGCTGATCCTGAGTATTCTTGAAATTATCGGTTCCACTGGGTTTTTTTTCTCCCGGTGCAATGACTTACTTCAATAAGGAACATTGAAGAGGTCTTAAAATGAAATCTTTGCTGTGTTTTTCTCTTGTCACCACTGTGTTGGGATCTTGTCAAAGCTCTTAGGCTAGGCTTTGCTTTCTCTTGGTAAAGCTGAGATGAAAAGCCTGAAGAAGGAGCAGCAGCAGCTGTGCCAGCAGGCTGGGCGTGCCAGGGGCTCCCCTCAGCTCATAACACAGGGTGCTCAGCAGAGATCTGAGGAGCAACGTGCTCTGCTGGCGAGTCTGTCTTGAGCAGGGACCCTGCCCCCTTTTGGCCATTAAAAAGGTGTGCTGTTCGGTCTGCTGGCCAACTTCTCCGTGAAGTAATATACTCTACCTCCCTTAATTTCCTTGTAATTTCACTTGGAGAAGTTGTTCTCTGTTTCACCTCCTAACTAACTTTTATGTAGTGTTGCTGGCACAGTTAGCGGCAAGTGTGTTTTGATGGTGGGTGAGGGACCCAGTGCACTGTTTGTAGAGTGCTTTGGGATCATCTAGGATGCAAGAAGCCAGGGCAAGCCTATTTATTGTTCTTTGTCAACAGACATTAAAGCATCCAGCTTAGCAGTAACTGTCTAGCCTGAAGCTAAACCTCCTAGCCAGCAAGTCAAGAGCTAAGCCATTGTTATTGAGACCAATCCTTTTTCTTAGAAAGCAATGGAAAGGGAAGAGGGCATGGTATGTCACCAGGTTAAAACAGAGCAATGCTGTATAAAAATTACTGTGATCCTTGGGCCATAGAGGAAGAGGAAAGAAAAATCCCACAAAATGAAGACTTACAGAGAAAAAAAAAATCACAATAGTATAAAAGATACATTGATGGCCTTGAAATGGTGTTTACCAAAGGCCTGATGCATGCAGGCACAAAGATTGTCAGTAATGTTTTACAGAAATATTGGAAAAACCACAGGTAGCTGAATTGCAGATTTCTTGAGGCAGTATTGACCAGAAGGTAGCTTGAATGGTCTGATGAGCTTTTATCAAATTAAACAAAAAGCTGAATGGACTTTATGTGGAGCCTAATTTACTGTGCTTTGAAGTCAGAGTATTTTAAAGACACTGTTTTAAAGTACGTGAAACTGGAGGGGGAGAGGGTTGGAATAGAGAGGGTTGACATCTTACATAGCCCTTAGGAACACGTTTCTCTCCATCTGTGCTTGAAAGGTAAGTCCCCAGTGTCAGGGTGCTTTAGTATAGTACCTGGCTGCCCTATAGTACCTGTGGGGCTTTAGGAGCCCATGGGCTCACCTGCTCCAAGTAGACAACATGGGTGTAAATATCTACCCATGTATGGAAGGAGTAACAGGCATTTTAGAACTGTTAGGAGTTCAGCTTCCCCAGCCCTAAAACAGCATGAAGTGTGCTGTCCTTCATCAGCCTGGGCCAGCACCCAAGGAGTTCTCTAGCAATAAGAATTCCACAGACACCTTACTCCTGGGCTTATCTTTATTATAATTAGACATTTTTTTCTTGCTGTTGAACTGAAGTTTTTGTTGGTTTTTTTTTTTGCTGTGGGGAGCACAGGGAACAATTGTTTTCTTTTTTATAACAAAATCACTGCATAGTTGCTCACAGTAGGAAGTGAAACAATTTAAGTGTCTCCAAATATCTTTCCTCTTTATGCCCCCCAAAAACAGGCTCCAGATGTAGTTATAAAAAAAAGTAAAATGACTTCTTATTTGTAGAAGGAGTATTCAACTAGGTATTTTTTTTCCTTGCTTGAACTGTTCAACTGAGATGCAGGCTGGTATGCTTTGACATGTTGCTGGCTAAACTTTTGCCTACTTGTGAT